AATGTTTCTTAGTATACCTTTCTATATCCTGAAACTGAAAATAGACAAGGAAAAATCTATTACTATAAAACTACTTACTTTTAAAAGTTTATAACTAGAATGATGCCAAATTTAAAAAAGCACACTGATTTTAAACAAAGAGTATGAAAATAAGCAGTTTCTCTTTAAACTTCAATGTCATATTACAGGAGTCAGGTAGTTATATTTGTTTACCAAAACTTAGAGTCTGGTTCAAGGTGAAGTCCTCCCCAGAGTGTTAGAAAATGAATAGCTGCACAGCACAGAGAAAGTTTCCTGTCAATCTATGAACAAGTGAAACTACCGCAGTCAACACATGCACAGTGATCGCACATGTGATTACTCAATATTCAGCAACACACAGAAGGAAGCCCTGCAGACCACCTTTGCTACTGTGCTGGTTTTGGCTGGGATAGAGTTAATTTTCTTCATAGTAGCTAGTATGGGGCTATGTTTTGGATTTGTGCTAGAAACACTGTTGATAATACAGGGATGTTTTCATTATTCTGAGCAGTGCTGACACAGAGTCAAGGCCTTTTCTGCTTCTCACACCACCCCACCAGCGAATAGGCTGGGGCTGTGCAAGAAGTTGGGAGGGGACACAGCTGGGACAGCTGACCCCAATTGACCAAAGGGATATTCCATACCCTATGACCTCGCGTTCCGCATATAAAGCTGGGGGAAGAAGAAGGAAGGGGGGGATGTTCGGAGTGATGGCGTTTGTCTTCCCAAGTAACCGTTACATGGAGCCCTGCTTTCCTGGAGATGGCTGAACACCTGCCTGCCGTTGGGAAGTAGGGAGTGAATTCCTTGTTTTGCTTTGCTTGTGTGCGCAGCTTTTGCTTTCCCTATTAAACTGTCTTTATCTCAACCCACGAGTTTTCTCATTTTTACTCTTCTGATTCTCCCCCCATCCCACCAGGGGGGGGTGGGGGGGTGGTACTGAGCGAGTGGAGGTATGGTGCTTAGCTGCTGGCTGGGGTTAAACCACGACACCAAAGATGACTGGAAAATTCATGAAACAAAAATCCACCTGGGCCTGTTATTTGCAAAGAAATCCCTCATCAGTAATCCCTAGAGTCTAGAGTAACGTGGGAACGTATCATCACATACTTCTCCAACGCTTACACTCTTCCATTATGGAAGGCATCCATTATAGAAAGCTGCAGAGATACATTGGCTAAAAGGACCTTTTCTTAGGTCTAGCACTGACATTTTTAAGTTTAAATAAAACCTTTACTCAAACTATTTAACCATTGTGTTAAAAACATCCAGTAACTGAAGAACTCTAAGATTCCACTGCAGATTTTTTGCCATTGGTCCACTTTGAAATACTGCCATAGTTGCACAGCCTACAGGAAAAATCTGAGCAGGATTGTGCCTCATTTGACAGCATCTTCTTGTACTTGATTCTCCAGTCATTATATGGTATCATCCTGAATTTATTATATGAGCACTGGTTGCTATGGAAATCATCATCTGCTAAATTCAGCATTATTGATTTTGTTTAACATGGGAATACTTCAGTGTGGTTCCTTTTCAGATCTGAGCTGTAGTTTTTAGACAAGGTTCTGATCACTCCTTTCACAGGAAAATCCATAGAAAGAGCATTAGAGAGAATTAAATCTCAATGAAACAACACAGATCAACACTAGCCTCCAAGCTCGGCAAGGATCTGAATGGATTGCAGACATTCTGTATCTCTACCCCCACCCTGCAAGCTGGGCTCTTCTATGACTTGGGAGTAATTTATTCAAGAACACCTTCAAAACATTCACAGTTCTTGAACCAGCACAGGTACTGGAAGGAGCATGCATCATAATTGGCTCTATTTCTCAAGTCAACTTACCCTCTCTCAGATGGAAATCCTCAGTAATTCAGCTAGATTATTTTCAACACTTAGACTAGCTTATTTACAGACAGCTAAACCATCAAAACATAGCATCATTCTTCAGTCTCTCCAAGATCTGGTTCACATTTTTTGTGAACTGAAAAACAAAACAAAAATAATCCATTTTCTTCATTAACTGAGGGGAGGTTAATCAGCACACAAACAACGCCATGCTTATGAAACTGTTTTTCAAATTGAGTAAGGCAATAAATCCAAATTTAAGTATCTAAATTGAGGTAAACTAATTCTGAAGATCAAGTCTGCAAAGACAAATATTGTTAATATTACACATACGAGTAGCCTGATTAAGTCTGTAGGATCAGTGCCTTTAGAATTACTGGGGTAGTGAAATACTAGGCAAATACCATATAAAGCCAGAAAATAAATTGTCAAATAAAAAGTTAGTTTACTGAATATCAGAACTAAGTGAGACTGATTTTCTACCAACTCACGGTTTGTGAATGATTACTGCCTCAGAAGGTATGTGCACCAAAGGCTGAAGGACATTTACCACTAAGGCATTTACATAAAGCCTTTTTTCCCATGTACATTCTTTAGTGTGTAGTAAGGACTATAACGTCATCCCCCATCAGAGTGCTTCTGCTCTATCTGGCCACCTGTTATCACGAACCCTGCAATAATTTATTTATCAACACTTCTGTTAAGTTTGACCAAACCAGCCAATAGGTTCAAAAGCTAATTGAAGATCAAAACCAACGGAAAGTACAATTGTTTAAGCCTTGTTTCCACAGGAAACATTAAAAATATAAAAGCACAGGTAACGGTTCATCAATATTTGTTATGAATGTGATTCACACTCAAATTATTCACAAATTATTAACTATGTATATGATTATGACTCATGAAGACAGTACAAAAGGTTCCTTGACTGTGATCTTGCTGTTCTATTCAGGAAAATACATTCAAGTATCTGACATTAGTGTTTTATAAGGACATGTTTGAAAACAGAACTGCAGTAAAAGTACATGTAACTTAAATTTTTCAAATACCTCATAGAACTGAACAGAAAAAGCTGTAGAGAATTATAATCAGAAATTGCTATGCACACCACAGATGGGAAACTTTGCATCTTCCCCTTCTGTCAAAAAGCATGAAAAATATTTTTATCCACTATAACTTACATCCTGAATTCTGTATGTGCAGTAGTCAGGTGCATATGGGTACTTCATTATGATAGCTTTTTATTTATCATAGCCCACAAAATTCTGTGCATGGCCTTGGTCACAAGCAACAGGTTACACAAAGGATTTAAATCTGCTCCTGTCTAGATATATGAAATCATCCAAAAAAACCATGTTCATAGTCCATCTTTAGTCCTGAAGAAGCTCTATACTGACTACAGTCATACTGTTCTTATACAGAACGCAGATTACTGCTGCTCAAAATCATACATGCCTGCATAACAGCTACAGAAGACAGAGAGAGCAGCTCAGGAATATTCTCTTCATGTTTTTGCCATTTTATCTTGTGTGTCAGCAGCAAGAGCTAATCGGACAGGGCTTTGAGCAGGAGCATGCTTTCTAGCTGAGCAGCTCACACGTTTCTCCTAACAGACCTATGCCGCTGAGGCTATGAGGAACCCTTTTCAGCCTGTACTGTGGCAAATTTCTTTGATATATGCTTCAACACATGTCTTCAACATGCTGAGGCATGAATGTATGGTAAGAGCTAGTCAGCAGCTTTTCTCTTTAATAAGTGTAGGTACTTGTGGTTTCATTCACTTCTGACCTGGATCAGAAGCTTCAGAGTCAGGATGTGGATCCACCACCTAATAACCCTAATTCCAGAAACTAACTTCTTTGAGTATGAAAATGTATTACAATTCAAATTAAAAGGTCATTCTAGAGCATTGGAGGAAAAAAAAAAACACACTTCTGTTCTACAGCTCAATACTGACAAAAGTTACAATGGGGAAGGCAAAACTGACACAACCACAGAAAGCAGGCCTCAAAGAAATCTCTGATCAGAGACAGGATCAGTTGAACCTAAAACATTCCTGCAAGATGTGTTTTTTTATAAAATGTTCTAGATAATTAAATTAGGTACTGGTAGAAAAGTTTTCTAAAGTCTAGCCCAAAGCTGCATTGACAAAGTTTAAGCATTTTTGCTCTCTCCACACTGGATACAGAACAGTTTATTCCCTTCTTTGCAGTGTGACTGTCACAGCCTTTGTGTATAACAATATTCTGAAGAACATACTGAAGAGCCCTTTTTCACACAGTATCACACAGCGTGGCTGAGGTTGAAAGGGACCTCTGGAGGTCATCTGGTCTGACATCCCTGCTCAAACGGGGCCACCTAGGGCCCGTTGCCCAGGACCACGTCTAGATGGCTTTGGAAGATCTCCAGCAGCTCTCTGGGCAACCTCTGCCAGTGCCCTATTACCTTCACAGTAAAAAAGTGTTTCCTGACGTTCAGGAGGAACATCTCATGTTTCAGTTTGTGCCCACTGCCTCTGGTCCTGTCGCTGGGCACCACTGAAAAGAGCCTGGCTCTGCCTTCTTTGCACCCTGTCTTCAGGTTTTTATATACATTGATACGGTCCCCCCTGAGCCTCCTCTAGGCTGAACAGTCCCAGCTCTCTCAGTCTTTCCTCATAGGAGAAATGCTCCAGTCCCTTCATCATCTTTGTGGCCCTGCATTGGACTCTCTCCAGTAGCTCCCTCTCTCTC